CGATTTATTTAGTAGGTAAGAATTTTAGTAATTATATTTATATATTTAGTTTGTCTACTATTTATCAATATTATCTAATACTTTCTGTAAATCTATTACTATATTTTCATGTGTTTTATTGCATTCTTCCGTATCTTCTTCATCTTGAGATTCTTCTTTGGCCCTATCATTTTCAGTCAAGATGTTAGATCCTTTTTCAAGTGTTTCTATAAATGAATCAATATTCTTGTAAATTTTAGTTTTGTAATACTCCTTACAGTGTCGATACCTATACTCCATTCTGTTATAACAATGCCAATGAAAACTATGACCACAAATTAACACAGTACCACCTCTATTTTCATTTAATAGTTCATAACAATCATTACAAAGGTCTGGTAAAGGAGGCACACCGGTACTGTAGCCTGTTGGAAGGCACATTATATCAACATCTTTACTCAAAATAGTAAGTTTATACTTTAAAGGTCTTTTTTATCTTTTTATATTCTTTTTTTTTGATTTTTATTATCTGTAATATTAGCAACCACGCTAATATGTTAAAAAGTTTAACAGAAATAATCTAGCAAAAACAAGGAAGTTTTGTCTACTAGGTAATTCAGAGTAGAAGAAATATACGGGTATCTTTTTTTGCATTGAATATTTCTTTAAATAATAATTGTCTATTCACGTCTATGTTTTATTTTATTTATATTATTAATGATATTATTATGCTGTTTAATTAATTTAAATTTTTTTTTTTTAACTTACCTAGGATACATGCTTGCTGAATAATAGTTTTAGCACTATCATCAGTCGATGTACTCGATCATATTTTGCTATAAAAATTTTCAATGAAATAGTCATTGAAATTCACAAGAAACATTTTAATTACATCAAACATTGGATGATTTTTGTCTTGCCAATAAAAAATATCTGACAAAAATGCCAAAGAAGCTTTGTTGTAATTTTTATGCTTCTAACATAGTACGAAAGTCTATATCTGAAAAATAGGTTCAATATATTCATTAAAAGAGCCTGAGCAAAAAAGAACAGCGTATACATCTAATATCACTAGGATTATATTGTCGAAAAGATCAACCAACATTCTATATTCTATGTCTTTACATATAGGTCTGAATTTTTCCAGTATCTTTACTTTTATTTTTAACTATCCCTGATAAGTAAGTTCAAACAAGAGGTTTATTCTTCACGGTTTTGTTTTTTGTGCAAATGTTTTTTTTTTTTCAAAAACCGTATGGAAGAGTTTTTTTAAAAAAATGATAGTATGTTATTATAACTTGTTCTCAACTATTCAATGAGACGTGGAGTGGATCTAATATAGGTATAAAGGCATTAATAGTTGATAGTACAGTTAAATTTTGTTGATGCAAATAAGTTAATGCCTTCTGTATAAAAAGTTGTTCAGACCAGTCGGCAATGACTAGTATATTACATAATTATTTGTACATTTTATATCTTTATTTATTGAATAATTATTTCTAATACACTTATATAATCATCTAATGATTTTAGGTTACTTTCTTTAATACTGACTAATTATACATCTTTCACACTTCGTTCTTGTATTTTGTTTTTGATAGCTTCATCATAACAATAAATGGTTAGAAGA